ACTGTGACTTTAAAAACTTACTATTTTGATGTCCTGTTGGCTCAGTAATGCTCAAAATATCAATTGTTTGGACAAAATAAATTAACTGAATTTGGGCTACAATTAAACCTTGGTACGTAGGAGTGATTCTATTTGGCAGGGATAATTAATTCATCAGTAAATATAAGGAAAAAAGCTAGTGTTAGGAGTTTGGTACTCGTAGACCCTGGTGGGAAGGAGAACATCTTAAAATTTAATTATTTTCTAATATGGCAAAGTGCTAAAGTTCTGACTTGCTCACTCTATCCTGGATAGGCACTTAGAACCTTAAATTATAAGAAGCCTTTGCAGTCATGAGGTGTGAACACAGCCATAACATTTTTTGAAAGTACTCTTTAAAGTTAATGCAAGTAAATACATCAATTCCCTGCTTAATATTTAGGCTGTTTACTAGTTTTAAATTAGGTGTCTATGGGCATCCTACTACAGGAATTGTTTAAAGACCTGATAAAGTGTTTGGGAGTATGCATTTAGTTAGATCTTTTAATGCCTGCCACAAATCAATTTGAAATGTTAGAATGGCTATCCATAGTAAATGATCAATCCTTTTACAGGCCTTACTGGATTGTGGTCTTCACTGGATTCAGTGTTGGCGTTTTTCAGTCAAGAGAGTATGAACTGAAAGGTTTATGCAGCCGTCTTTATTTTCATGCAGATTCACATTGCTTCATTACAGCTGCACTGAAAAGGAATTGAGGTCTCACAGGTTGGAGATACATACCAAGCTGCACAAGGTGTCAGTTCTTGTTTTAATGTGTTTTAGTTCCATAGGTTTACACTGAATTTATAGTCTCTGTGCTAAATTTTTCTGAAGATGACTGTCCACTACTAAAAAGGAATGTTGTGGCCAGAATGCATTATTGATCTTTAAAAATCCTTAGAGTGGCATAAGTTGGCAAAAATATCTTAAAGTGCAATAGATTTTCAAGTGTATTGTGCCTCGTTCTAAACTTATTGAAGTAGGTGCACTTGACAGTATGAAGTCATTTGTTCTGTGCTATTTCAATTAGTGTAAGTTTAGACTCATACATATTTTGCCCATAATTTTTTACAAAATACTTATTTTATTGCACATTCTAAGAATTTTATGCATATGCCTGTGTATGAGTCCTATTTTATTTTGTCTCTTGACTGTTGAATAGAGCTTGTCAAGAACTAGTTTCTGAAATTTTATTTGGGACCATGGATGACAGCTAAGAAAATTATTTGCACATGACAGACCTTCCCCATAATAGAGGCTTGTTATGCTCCTGGCCTGGTCCTTGTTTTTGGCTTTTTTTACCTAACAGGTGCCTTTACTGAAAACTTATCTCTATAGCTGGGAATTTAGCTCAATGCTTTTGTGGCCTGCCTTGCAAGCTGAAGCACCAGAGTTTGTTCCCCAGGACCAAAAGCAAAAACAAAAAAAACAAAAAACAAAAAAAAAAAAACAAAAAAAAAACACCACACAACAACAATAACAACAAAACATCTCCATAAAGCTGGAGTTTTAGTTGACAACACAGCTTGTGGAAAATTTCTGCCACCTTTTTGGTATGATTTGGATAAGTACCCCTCAACAGCACCCATGTTAAAAAATATGGTCCCCAGCCTGTGGCGCTGTGAGGAGGCATTAAGAGGGGTGTTCTAGCGGGAGGCCTTAGGTCACTGGGGGATGGCTGCAGGGGGGAATGTGGGCCCTTGATCTCTCTCCTTCTTCCCTGTCTTCACCTTCTGGCTGTGAAGTGAGCAGCTCACTTTTCGGCATTCAGCAATCTGCCTCACTGCAAGCCCAAAAGCAAAAAGGCCAACTGACCCCATGGTCAAAACTTGGCCAAAATAAACTTGTCTTCCGTAAGTTCATTATCTTAAGTATTTTGTTACAGTAATAGGAAGTTGACTGCCCTACTTGTGTATTTGAAGACATGTTTCCTTTTAATCATTTTTCCAGAGATGAATGCTTTTATAGAAAGACAGCAATGATGTTAATACTTCACCCATGTGTGTGCAGCATTAACAGTCTTCCTTGTGATTCTGTGTTGTCTATGTATCACTGACTATTGTTCTCAAAAATGGTCTTTAAGAAACAGGTGAAAACAATCTATATCTCATGAAAGAACTCTACATTACATGAATTTTTAGAATAATTTTGATAAATTATAAATGTAATTAATATTTAGTGTGTTGTTTAAATTTGATGGGTAATTTTTTAAGCAACAAAAACTTACCTTTTCACAGAAAGATATCAATAATAAAAAATTAGAATGGCATAGTGACACTCATCTATAACCCCAACACTCTGAAAGGCTGAGGAAAGAGAAGCACAAGTTTGAGCCCAGACAGGGCAACTACACAATTTAGAAAGACTTTGTCTCAAAAATGAAAAAATAAAAAGGGGGCTGGGCATGTAGCTCAGTATGAAGCCCCGAGTTCAATCTCTAGTACCGTCGAAAGAAACAGGAGAAAAAAGCCTTACGGTTTAAACTTAGAATCATGAATAATCCTTATCTGATAATATTAACAAGCTATTATAATACTCAAAGTTCTTGACATTTTTGGCAAAGATATAAATTTCTTAATAACTAACTTTAAATTAATTAGCATACCACTGAACATATATAATTGATAACTCAGTGAATATGCATATGTATTTGTTCAAAATATAAAATCCATAGATACAGCTAAGTAAATAGTAGTTCTGGATAGGGGAATGGTGTGTGATGATCTCACCACCAATTTTCTTTGATTTTATAATAACATCTTTTAAATATAAGAGTCCCTAGGCTACCTGGACAGCTAGTATAGATAGATAGATAGATAGATACATACATACATACATACATACATATATATATATTATACAGTGTATATATATATATATATATAACTGCTTTATAGTCACTAAACACTATAAATTAGAAAATATGTCATAGATGTGAAAATTGTTAGTAAGAGATGTTCTGTGATTTAATTCCAGAAAAGCCTTCAAATCCAAGTTTACCTGAGTCAAGTGCATGCTCATAATCTTAGACGTGTTGGTTCCAACACCTGGAAACTTTGATACAATTTATTTTGAAATAGACACCTGATCAGAAATGTCAAAATTTAGCCCCTAAAATTTAGCAAGTAATTACAGTTTCTCAAGAAAAACTCATTTGCTCTATGCCTGACCCATCCAAAAAAGATAATCATACCAGTAAATAGTACCACCAGTAATTATAGTAAAACCTGCTGATACAGGTTTTGCAATGCTTGTCCCTATTCCATGAATGAAATAAAAATTACCAATTAAATCCCAAATTGCTTACACAGGAAAAGTGAAACTTCAAAGTGAAGGATCTAGCTGATACCAACTTCACATAGTGCTCAATTTTTGTCTCACCAACAGGAAAAAGGAGCGATTGTATAACTTGGGAAAGATGAAAACATACCACCTGTGAAGATTTCTAACCAAAGTGTTTACTTTGAATCAATCAAGCTTTTGGATCTAACTTCCAACTTCAGGAATTACAAGAACCATAGAATAAACTTAGTAATATCAGGAGGAAGAAATGAGACAAATTCAGAAAATAGGGCAGAACCAGAACAACTTGCCTGGTCTCTTCAATAAGCCAGTTTCATGAAAAACAAATAAAATAAATTAAAATAAAAAATGAGTCTATTCTCTCAAAAGATACTTAAGGGATATAAAAATCCAGGTACATTGCATGGTCCTGGACAAAATTCTGCTTCTGACAAAACCATCTGTCAAGAGCATTGAGGGGGCAGCTGTGAATATTTGAATATGATGGGGAATTAGATATATTAAAAGGGATTACCAATTATATTAGTTGTTATAATTTGACTATGGAAGACATGCTCTTTTTAAAAATTTTTTATTTTATCCCATCCCCCACTCAAGCCCCCACCCCTCCCTATGTACAAAACCTTTGTTTATATTTTTCTATTTTCACTTTTTTTCTTGTCCCTTCCTTCCTTTCTCCCTCTCTCTTTCCTTGTTCCCCTTCTCATTTGAACACTTTCTTCCCATTTCCCAGCATGTTATTATTTTTGACGTGTGTACTGAAGTTTTTAGAAATAAAATTTTAAAATGTCTGTATTTTACTTTAAGGTGCACAGATAGAAACACAAAGACATATAAAAGATGGAATAATTATAAATATATCTCAAAGAAATTGAGTACAAACAATTCAAGGTTCAAAATTCATGTGCCAGTGTCAAGGAATAAAGACAGCATTGTTTCCATTGTGATGATTCTGAAATACCATGATCATTTCAGGTCTTATTCTTCTCTTCTACGATTTTTGAGCAAAGTCTTAACTAGAATATTTTTTTAAAAATTTAAAGCAAAATATTAACTTTAAAAATATCGCATAGTATAATTTTAGATACACTTTTAGGTATATTCTACTAACATTCAGCATCACAGAAAACAAAAAGGAATTGAAAGATTTGAAGTTAACATAATATTCCATCACAATCATAGCTGATAACAACATGGAATTCTAATTTCCATGCTGCTGTCTTTATTGCACAGGCTTCATTTCCATCCCCTACCCAGGAATTACTTCATTTTTATGTTAATGACCTTCTTTGTTCTCAGCACTTCCCTAACAAATAAGGAAGTAAATTCCAGTTTAGACAACATCTGGGAGACAGGAGTCAAACAGCAGTTACAACTAGTGTTTCATGACATGACCCCTAGTCTCTGTAGTCACTGTAGCACTAGCCAAAGCTGGGCGTAATATAGAGGTTACTACTGAACAGTAAGAAAACCTTAGACCCTTAATGACATAAAGTCACTCTAGTTCAGATTCAAGTAGGTTAGACCTGCATAGAGCATAGAGCTTAGTACAAAGATGAAAAGGTACCTTTCACTCTCCATTCAAGGAAATGTGTGATTGAATAGCACTTGCGTTTGAATATGGAAATAACAGATTCAAAAAGTGAAACAAAGCCAAACAAGAACAATAAAAGCAAACCTGAGACCCAACTGCCTGCAGATCACTTCTGCATCTGCATCGTCCCACTGGTCGTCACAGATGGTCCCCCACTGGCCAGCGTGGTAGAGCTCCACTCGACCTTCACGTACACTGCTGCCACCAGAGAGGCGAAGGACAGGAAACGAGGGGCCTGGCAGTGTGAGATTAAAAACAAATTTGAGTCGAAGAGTTTACATCAATCTGTAGAAAGCTAGGCACATCCTGTCTTTGCCAGTCTCAATAATATTTACTAAGCCACACCAATTATATGAACATGCACATGCATATTTGACATATATTGATCTTGACCAATCCAATGACTTTAAATTGAATTACACAAACAGCCCTTCACAGGAAATGGTTGACATTCACATTTCCCCCAACGACATCAAAAACCACAAAAGACACACTAAAAAGCTACCCATTACTGGAAACATGTTTGATCTTTGCAATATTATGGTGAAGACATTGATCATTTTATTTATAGCAACCGGAGTACTATCAACATGTAATTATTAGAAGTGACCCTTATGTTTACAACATACTTGTTTTTGGCACAGAATTATATACTTTTTCTAGAGATCAAGTCAAAACTACCATCTAGCTCATTATAACTAGCTAATATTTTAGTCAGGCCCTCCAACAAACAATATCGAAAATTCCCTTGGACATGAGTCAAATCCCATTCATGCCCTCTGTTCAGACCCCCCAGGGGTGGTGATATTCCCATTTTCTCCAGTGCCCTGGTTTAGTCCCTGTCAATCTCTGAACTTCTCTTTCTCTGAACTTTCGCTCCTGGTCCCATTTACAAGGCTATAACTACAATGCCCTCTTCCTCCCATCCCTAAAATACTCCATGTTCATTGTCACCTCAGAGTCCTTGACCTTACTGCTACTTTTTCTTGGAATAAAGTACCCCCACCAGATCTTCACACAGCTGTCTCCTCATTGTTCACTCCTCGCGTCTGAAATGTCCTTTCCCCTGGGAACCTACGCTGACAGCCTTAGCAAAGGCACTTCCTACTACATTTTGTGATTTGAATCCTCACACTATTCAGTTTTACCTAAAATTATCATTTCTTACATCAATTGACAATATCAAAATTGTCTCTCTCTTCTCAGCTAGGATGAGGACAAAGAGACCGCCCTTCTTTCTCATCTTGGTATTTCAGGCCCCAAAGTAGAATACGTGTGATAACCATTTGTTGACTGACTGGATTGGCAAGTGATGCTGAAAATCCAGAAAAGGTATCCCAAACAGAGAAAATAATTGGCAGTGTTCAAGCATTCAACTGTGTTTTTTCATTTTATGTTTTAGCATATTTGTAGTTCCTCACAGGAGTTACTACGGGTGGATAACACATCTCTGTCCTTTTTCATCCACTTCTCCCCACCACCCTCCCCTGTCTCCATCTCTTGGTCTCCTTCCCTTTTGCAAAAGCTCTATCTCCCTACTTCCTATTGTCTATCTTTTATTTTGTTCTTTATTTTATTTGGAGTTTCTCATACAAGAGAAACCATGAAATGTTTTAAGCTGTGTGTCTGATTTATCTTACTTAATATTACAGCATATTATAACATCTGTTTGCTTACAAATGACTCAAGTTTTTCCTTCTTTATGTCACAGTAGTACCACATTTTCTTTATCCATTCACTTATTAATAGACATATACATCACTTCCAAGATTTAGCTATTATAAATTGTGCTGCTATAAACATGAGCATGTGTATATCATTAACAAACAGATAAAAGACAATTATGATGTGTCAGGCATTGGAATCAGTACCCAGGACACTCAAGGGGTTTCTAGACATAGCCTGTCTACAAGAAGTTTGCTGCCTCTGGGCACCTGCAATCCCAGCACTCAGGAGGCTGAGGCAGGAGGATCATGAATTCGAAACCAGCCTGAACTACTTACCAAGTTCAAGGATGGCTTGGATTACATGGTTAGAACCTGCCTCAAAAAAGGAAGAAGTTTGTTGTGCCCAAGGATGTGGAATGAGTAAAGAAACTTCTGCAGTGATTCAGAAGAAAGGAGCTGATCACACTGTGGGCAGTTAGGGAATCTTTCTTGAAAGAGTGGGTCCAACAGGATGGAGGGATTTGGGAAGCTAGAAATGGAGAAAGTGTAGCTTTCTCAAAACAGTCAGTTTGAACAAAAGCACAGAAGCACAAAGTTGAATGTGTTTGGCAGTAAGGCAATGGGCTGCTGGGAAGTTTAACTGTATCATTTGCTAAATATTAGTCATTTTTCCATATGAAATATGCTCGTAATTCTCCACACTATAAATAGCTGCAATTAATTGGCAACTGAATAGTCACACATTAAAATGGCATGCTAGAGTTTTACAGAAAAAAACCTGGAATTATAAAAAAATGATGAAAAATATACATGTTTCTTTCAGTCAATATTTTCTACCCCTTTGGTAAGGTTGGGAGAAATAATAAATAAACAAAGTAATTTAAAAGGAAATTTGAAATCACCCAGAACTTCGTCTTTATGACATACTACCTCTCATTTTATAATGATGTCGCATTTTATTTTCAAATATGTGGGGTTTTCTGGTTGGAAAAGTATTTGTCAAAAATAATAGAAAAACACACAAAGAAAATTTGGCTGATATCCACACCTCCCCAACAAACTCACAAAAATCGTTTGAAAGAATTCAGTAAAATAGTTGGCTCATATTTTAGTTATAGATAAAGAAAACTCCCCACATGTTTTCATTTAGATTGCTGCTGTTCTCTATCCAAAACTTTCACATGATTTTCTTCTATGTAAGTGCTGGAGACACTACAAGTAGTTGATGATAAGGCACTAAATTCCCAAATTCAAGAAATGTATTCAAGATCTATCACTGTGCCCTATGGTAGACTCAGCATTCTGTGATTTCAGCTAAATTAGTTCATGTTCTCATTTAATTTACTATAAGAAGATCTCTTTTCATTATCACTTCTAATTTATTATAACCCTCTGTTTTATATGTTTACAAATGACCTGAAAATTATATTTATAAGCAGAATACATTATATGGATAAATTATAGAGGGTATGAGTTTTTTTAAAAAGGAAGATGGAATGATAGAAAACATAATTATTGTCTAAAAATTTATTATTTGAAAAATGTTAGACATTTTATCAGTCAGGCTGAACACAGAATAAAAGTAATTATCTACTGAAAGCCATGCATCATTAGGCCAAATTAATATCATCCTAGAAACAGCACTACAAAACATGGATTGATAATGGAATACTACCCAACAGGTGGAGAATAAGAAGAAAAGGGAAAACTTAACAAGACATTGAGTCAGCGGGCACTTCTCCCATCCAAAAAGATTGTGGCTCTCAGCATGTGCATGTACCATTATTCTTCCATTACTCCAATTCAGAGGAACTATTTACTCTACATTTGGTCTCACTGTGTGTCTTGTAGTGGAAGGTTTTTAATTCCCTTCCCCAATAAATATACTCAAACAGGAACCACTGCTCTAAACTAGCAGTTAACAATTCAAGTCCCGGGACTTCTGGTCACAGTACTATCTCCAAGGAAAATGCAAAAAAGCAATGCTATAAGCATGTGATCACACATTAAAATATACTGTGGTCCCCTAAAAATCCATGATCCACCTAAAGGGTAGGTGTTCCTGCCTCTACTTACAAGCATCTGTGTACATCTACATATACATCTGTGTATTGAAACCATATTAGTTAATCACCACATTCATAGTATGGAGCTTGGGAGAAGCCCTTATCCAAGCCAAGAATCTATTCTTTAAGGACTGTGCTATCTACACCTCAAGAGTACTGATACTATAATTATATTGCACCACACAAAGAAAAAAGTTCTGATTTAGTGTCTGTACTGTACATGGGGTCTCAAAATAATTTTCCATCGTGCCTCTATCTTGATTTCCCATTGCCAAAATAAGCTTTTCACATACAGTACATTATACAATATATACTCAATATATCTGTAGCCAAATTATATAAAAAGAAAATATGTTAAAATGAGATGCTATTTCAAAGTCAAAAGGAATTCAAAGAGTTAGATACACTCATATTAGAGACTACCAGTATCAAATATGATGATACAGACCCATTTTTATATTTAAGCTGTAAGAAAATGATTTAACGAAGACATTTTTATCATCTTGGAATCATATTTAAAACAAAATGAAACCAAAACAAGACAATTTTTTTTTCTTTTGCCATGGAAAAAGCTACATGTGATAGCAGCTCCTATCTTCACAGGACACATCCCACCCTGCCAGATGTCTTTTTCACAAAGTATATTTTCTTCATCTCCTCGGCAACAGACATTGCTCCAATAAATTGGAATATAGGAATATGGCCTAGTCCAGAAAACACAGAGTTTGTTTTGCTATGTTTTCCCCTCTGGAAATTCAGTAACTGATGTTAGGTTTATCAAATGTAAGCAAAACTTTTTAGCAAAGCATTTGGATTTTTAAAAATGGAAGAAATTAATAAAGATGACTGGGAAGAAAATAAGAAAAATACGAGATATGTTTCATGGAGATCAATATATCAGACCAAAACTTGGGTTGGTTAAATAGTAATTTTTAAAAATCAATTTTGAATATCTATTCTTTTATGCTTTTGTCATCTAAATGATTTAGAGGAAAGTGGGCATGTTTTGATATGGAAAAGGAATCTGGGTGTTTTTTGTGCAAAAGGTGTGTCACAAGGCCCAGTGAGGCTTGGATTCTGGTCTGGACTCAGCTAAAAGTCATTCTGAGCTACACCTCTCTCCAAGGCTACCTTCATATGTATGTATAAAAAAGATGCTTAGATAATTGAAGATTCTTTCCAACATTCCAGTTTATCATTTTCAAACGTCTACATCTGAGCACAATGATACAGAGGTAACTCACATTTTAAAAATCTTATATACAGCTATGCGAGGAAGATTTTAAAACTAATAACAACATACAGGAGGGCTCTGCAGTTAGGTCATATAATTCACATATTTTTATAGGTAACCTCTATTTTGTACAAATTCATGTAAAATTTTTAAAAGATTCAACCCTGATATGATGAACATGGTAACCTCTGCGTGGTCCTCATGCTACAACTTCCATTAGCCAAACAGCGAACACTTGGGATATATAAACATGAATGTGTCTTCAAGA